ACTAACAAATCATACCAACTTGATTTTTTTCAAATGAAATCCCGATTCTATAAATACTTTGAGTACTTGTGAAATGAAAGCACTGGTACAAAGATATCAAACAACATTGAAATACTGATAGTGGGACTCAAAATGTGTACTTTAAAATACTTTCAAGTTTTGTAGATATAACTATTTAAAAGTGTAGATATGAAAGTGAGTAAACCGAGAAGCACTTTAATTATTGTCAAATTCAAACCATACTTTCTCAACTTCTTTGGAACTTTGTGCAGAATTTTCTTCACCTAAGATATATCTTGTTATGATAAAGGTGTCCCAACGTTCCAAGACTCCCTACAAAGTTGGCGTAATTATTTTTCAGAATCTGAATGTGATAAAAAAGAGTAGTTGGTACTGTATTACTTTCAGAATTCACAACAGCTGTGCTGTTATTCAGTTTATTTGACAGTCGTAAACACTACAGAAAATGAGAATGCCTTCAGAGAATTAATGAGAGACAAAATCGATAAACAAAGAATATAAGGTATTGAGATCTAATGACCAATGGACTTTAGAATATCAATTATTGGGAATTATAAGATTCAACCAGTATAACACTGAACTTATTACTTGAAGATAGCCATTTTTCATACCTACTGACTGTTGAAAAAGTAATAATTCTGTCCCACTATCAAGACATTGATGAATGTATTTTAATTATCTAGTTCAAATTATACCCAATCAAAATTATTAATGAAAAATAACTAGTTTTTGAATAGAACTAAATATTCATTTTCTAAAAATTGTGCTACTTCAATCATGTCTCCTACAGTTCTAAAAGTTGTCCTAAAATATTCTCATAACAATGTATATGAGTTAGTAAGCTGTATTTTCTTCAAAGTTTCTTTAAATGGAATTCAATGAATGAGCTCATAATTATATTTATTTATCTTCATTGATAATACTGGATGATTTCGTAAATGAACAGATTTTTATTTGAAACATCCTTCCATTTGGTCCTTTTCTACAATTCCATGGTTCATATGGTCCTGGTTCTAGTTCTTGTTTATCTGAAAATAAAACTACACTCATAACGATTCAGCAATAAACAATGGCTCAAATTTTGTTCAAGTTGTTAAAAACAATATCTGTCTACGTTCTAAAACCATAAAATATTATTCTTATGCTTTCAACCAGTATAAATCAAGTGGTCGACAAATAATTGGGCCATTTTTCTTTAGGGAAAATTTATCATCCGTCGGTTATCTCAACCTCTTAAATAATGAGGTTAGTGAAGTTTTAGATAATATGCCTTTAATTGCCGTAGACACAACTTTTTCAAGTAACTTTTTGTTAAGTTCGATCTAGAACTGCACTTTTTCAAATTTTTTTCAAAAAAAAAGTTGAATTTGACAAACACTGAACGTCAGTGGGTCGCAGTAAGCCGCATCATTTTAAGTTAAATTCAAAGCACAAACAAGTGCCGAAGTTAAACTTCATTGAAACTTTTCGAAAAAAAAGTTTCCCATATAGTGCGCACCTTAATGGTGACACTGTATGTCATAATATACGTCATAAATTAATTTTCAAAGGAAATGCTTATCAAGTTTGTAGGAAGAAAAGTCAATTGTATTACATGGGGTAAAGTGCCTTTTTTCCCTTTGGATCTTTACTGTCCTCAGCTTCGTATTGAGCACTATATACACCTGCGGGAGGAAAAGTGATACTTTCCTCCTTATTACAACACACCTGAATATGTAATTTTCATACTTCTGATACCTGTTTTTGTCAAATTTGATATATCTACCGCCAGTCAAAGTAGAATCTGAAGACGATATTGGTATGAAAATTTGCCAACTGGGCCTACCATTCATCAACTTCACTTTCGAAAGTTCTTTGCATCTCTCTCGACGTCCATAATTTTTGAAAATTTTACGCAAGTGACAAGATAGACTATGCAAAGTACTGAGGTTCACTTGACATAACTTTAAGACCATAAGGTTTATTATTTTTCTTTCAGGTAGTAATTTATAATGATCGCTTACATGTCTTTGATGATAAACAGAAAACAATGTCGACTGATGATTATTTGGTTATACTTATACTAGAATAATCCTTGTAAATGAACGCCAGATCTTTTTGGCATAACACATGAGGTGTATTGCTCATATAAGACAGAATCCACAATCCACTATTCAGTTTAAGAATATTACTTGAAATCATGTTTTGACTGTTTGAGTCCGTATTACAAACAAGAAATAATATCCATTTACGAAAGACATTAATCAAACAGTGTAGTCATTAGTTTGACATGACAGAGAATATAGCGTCCAGATTTAAGATGTTTGTATCAGCATTGATTGCAGTTATCACTTATCACTCGAAGACTACTAACAATCGAAACGTCATGAAGTAACTTGGCTTGAAATCTTTNGAACCAGAACTTTCTCGAACCAACGCGGTAATTCCAAATATTTAATTACGCCTAATGCCACCTAGCGGGTAGCTGAAAAAGATAGTACATAGTACCACTACTCGCCACTAAATGTCGTTAAGTGTCACAATACACAATAATAATTGAAATGCAAAAAAGCGTAAGTTTGCTTAGGTCACGCACTATGCGACTATCCTAGTCTAGAAATATAGTTAGGGGGCAGAAATTGGCCCTTGGAACAAACTGAAAAAATCATTATGGTCCGAAGGCTTCAAAGTTTGGAGACCCCTGTATTAGACAATGGAAGTTCGAACTAATGAAATTTACCATGAAACATTGTCAACCACCTTCGAACATATCATTGCTACAGTTTCGTCCTACATTTTCAAAAGAATCAGTTCATTGTATTCGTTTCAAAATGTCCTAATAGAACGAAACCATACGAAACTGCAGTAACGATAGTTACCTACGTATTAAAACATAAAAGTTTTATTTGTCATTTTTCACTTAATGATGATTATGACAGATTACGTTTCACCAAACTGAGGTTTTTAGTTTATGACTTCAATGCTTTAGAATCACAATGATGTTTTTTTCTGTGTCGTACGATTGTGACGGTGTAAATTATGATGAGCCCAGTCCCTCCTAAATACGCCACTGGATGTTAATAAGTCAACGTAAATTGTCGGAGTAGTCGCTACATGTAGAACTGCTTTAATTTATTTGACATTCCAGAGTAACTCCTAATCTGTGACTTGACATTTTGCGGTTTTTATTTTATTATGGTTTTATAGTTTTATCTGTCTGTTTTATATAGACTATTTATTTGCGATGAAAAAAAAGATATTTATCAGATATCCATTATATTCAAATCTTATCAAATAAGCTGGTGAAATGTCAATTAAAGGTGATTCATTCAACTGCTGATGGTCGTATTCACTATTTTATAAATTCATTGCATTTCATTAGGGAATTGAATAAAAATGTCTGGGGGTCCGAACAGAAAAAAGACCACCCGTTCACAGGGTTGGGAAGAAGCTGGCTCTGAATTTTACCAGGAAAGTTATCCTGTCGACGCCGAGATTGAAGTTTTACAGAGAGATCCCAGAAAACTAGCAACTCTTCTCCCTAGCAAACAAACAAGAGCTGGTAATACCTTTTTTCAAAAATAACTTGCTTGATGATAGTTCGATACAACCACTATCTTAAATAGAAAGGGTTATATTTTTAGGAGTGACTAATTTTTGGGAAAGTTTTTGGCTTTCTACTACTCCATCTTGATACAAAAAAATGTGGGAATCTTCCATGATCTATACATCCATGAATAGAGTTACTTATTTTAAAATTGGTTACTTCCGTCCTTTCTTTAGAATGTTCCCATATTTTTTTGTATCAAGATGGAGTAGTAGAAAGCCAAAAACTTTGTTTCCCAAAAAACCACCATCTATTTTTTACCTTAGCCGCTGCTACTATTCGCATGCGAACCAATGACTTCCGAACTAATAATAGAACTGTAAGGAGGCACACTGGTTCAAGATCTCGAAGAGAATCCACAGTACATCGCAGAACATCTGTAGCAGGTGATGTGCAAGTGTCAATGTTGCCAGACTTGTCTGAGATGAGGACTAACGAAGAAACATCTTGGGAGGAAATAATGCAAATCAAAGCCATGCCCATACCTATGTCTCAAAAAAAGGAAATGAAGATAAGAATTCTTGTGAGTACCTTTAAAACTTTTCATGAAAGACAAATAGAATGTTATAATCATTCAAAATTTGAAAACTTCCCTTCAATTGTTATATGATATATTCAATAGATAGTTTGTACACTCAAATTTCAAACTATGACTATCACAACAGTGTTGATCTGTCTAACTTCAATCTTACAATTGAACTATGACTGAAATAGTTTCAATCCACCTTTCAAGAATATTGACATTATTAACATAAACATAGTCACTGCTGTGAGATTTGTGTATAGTTACCAAATATTGATGTAAAATATAAATTAGATAATAGAATCTCTGCAAAGAAATGTCACAAAACACAGTGTAATTTTATTGAAAGTTTGTGGTTTCCATAAATAATTTTTATAAACGAATAAGCAATAATTTATTGACATATTTCTTGAAGTCCAACTCTGAGTTAAAATCGAATGTCATCATTTATAGGGATATCAGCAGAGTGTGAAACAGCTTCGGGGTTATTTTTGGAACTAAATAACATGAAGTTGAATTTTTTTCAATAATTTAGTAAACATTGGTTTGTAATGGTATTTAAAAATATGTCAAGATCCTCATTGATGAGTCTACATATATTATCTACTTACTGAGTAGGAAAACTATATTATATTTGTGTGTCATCAGCATACAGATGCACTTTGCAGTGGACCAAATACTTTACAACACTAGAAGAGTATATGGAAAACAGCAAAGGTGCAAGAATGGATCCCTGAAGTATTCCAGATCTTAGTAACCTTTATTCAGAACTAATATCATCAGTATACATATTTTGTAGCAGTAAGGCATTATTTCTGAAACCTGTATATTTCAACATATTCATCACCAGATCAATATCAATTCTATTGAATGTCCTGCTAAATTTAAGCATAATACAATGCTTTTTTAATTATGCAAACAGTTCAAGACAGAAAAATTGTATTTTTAAAATGTATTTCATGGAATAAGATTAAGTTGATCTAGTTTTAATACTAAATTGTAAGATGTCAATCAAAAAGATCCATTTTATTTTGACTGGTTATGTGAGAATTGTGCTCTTCTTTTGCTCAAAGTGCAGAGAATTTTTAAACAAATATATAAATATATAATTTAATATATAATGCCTCAGAAGCATTCATTTTTCAACTCTCCTTTTGTGTCCAGTTACTTCTTTATATTTTCTTAAATCCAATATGAGTACTTTTTCCAATCACCATAAATGCAATGCAAAACTCCAAATATTAGGTTTACATATGTAATCGAAAGCAAGGAAAAGTTATTGAATGTCAAATCGGAAAGTTCATTCAAGACTCATGCGACATGCCAGTACACTCGTCCGAGTGGATTATTGGGCCGGTATAATGTGAAAAATTTTTGTCCGAATCCGGCCATTGCCGAGCAAACTCGAACTGTGCTTAACTTTGTAGGATTGAGTGGTGTTCACGCCTCAGTAATCAACGAGTGAAAACAATTAATAGCAAATGGTAGCAACCTGTAGGTGAAGTTTTGAGAGGAGTAACTCCCATATATGAACGACTTTCAATTTACTTTCGAACCCAAACCTGTTTTTCCTGTTAGTCTGTCTTTCCAACTCATGTTTAAAATATCCCTCATGATTTCTTGTATGTTTGCCATATATAATTATAATCATTTTTCACAAACAACTGATCTAGACCGATTACTTTCCTACAGTATTACTAATGTGTGTATAAATCTTTCCTTAGTTTACTGGACCCAGACACCAACTCGAACAAGTTTACTAGCCATTCATTAATGAGCCTTAAAGTTACTAATGTGATTTCATAATCAAAGTAACCTATCACAATATAAAATTACTGTAAATAAGAATTTTAATAAAAGGCATTTTAATAATGGAACTTCTGAATATCATGACACATACAGATATATTTCAATCCTCGTATTACTATGAAATGTTTATGTCTGATAAGATAAACATTTTCAAGGAACTGATGATATTTCACAACTACTTTGTTTCAATTTTCCTATGTGTTCACTGATATCTTGTCTTGGAGTATCAGCAAATTATTCACTTTGCTTGATTCCTGAAAGGAAATATTCATGTTGAATCAACAGATAATGGTTGTATACTTCCAAAACATGGAGAAGTAGAAAGCCAAAACCTTTCTTTCCCAAAAATTATTCTCCCTCAAAAGTAAACCCCCTTTCAATTTAAATGAAAATAAGCTAGTTGGAATGACTCAAATGTTTCTTGAAGCAAAAGGATAGTTTTAATGAAAAGCAAAAACCTGCTTTTTCAAAATTAAAAATGAGCTACTTGCTCAAAGAATTATTCATTGGAGAATTGATATATAAAATAAAGTCTTTGTTTCCGATTTAGGCAGTTTCGAGGGCAGTTAACACAGTAATAACCCAACTCTGTTGAATATATTACCTTAAAATGTTCAATGCTATCAAAATAGAAAAGAAACAATTTTAAATAAGATACCAGAGCATTTGTGGTATCATTGATATTCAAGGTTTGAATCTTCTACCGATCCCTTGGATAATTTTTTTGTAAGGAAAGATGCCCGTGCCTTTTAATGAGATACATTTATTCATTTAGAAAATTGATTGTCTTGCAAACAATCCACTATTACTTCTGAAAAATGATTATCGATTAATATTAGTATATTTTCCCTGAGATTATATTTATACATCTGATGCTAGTTAATATCAAATTCACTCTACTGATTAGAGCAGGTTGTCGAGTTTTTTTCCCTTGGTGTCAACAGCATCAAGAACTGTTGGTTGTGTTAATGACTCCGCGAGCTACCTAGGGAAGCATCACGGCCAAATCTATATTCTGGCAATCATAAAAGTAAGCAGAATCAGTCGTCCTTCAACTAGATAAATTCTCTTTACATAAATATCTTGTTGAAGTTGGATTCGAACTGAGAACCCCACAGTAGATAAACGAACACTTAACCACTGCAACTATTCACCACTGTAGTCTATTGTATTGATACTGTTCAATGTTTTATCAATATTTCAGGGGCATCCCTACTATCTAATAGTTACTAAAACTTGTGTCCTGGAATTTGATATGGCGACTCTCATCTTGTTCACCAATCTTTTCAGAATTCCAAGGTACAGTTGGAAAGTTTTGTTTATGTTTTCAACATTAATTGATGCTCCTGGTTCAAAAAGTGGGGGTATTCAAAATAGTTTTCAATAATTTGAAAATAAGATGTGGAGCTTTAGCTAGTGTCTGAGGCATCTTCTGCAACTAAGAAGATAGAAATCACATCACATCCAGTGGATGGGAGAAAATTAGTGTTTAGTTTCGAAAAGATGATATGCAACGACAGTAAGGACTCTATATTGAGTTGGTTGAAACATTTTTCCAAGGTGATCCTTCATATGAGCGCACGCAAATTTTGCCTCTAGGAGATGATAATATTTCAATGCATATTGGTCGGATACCGCCATCTTTCTTCTTAAGAGCACAAAGACGAACAGCATATAGAACTGTACTGTATTTGTGGATGTACGTGTCCTGATAACATGAGATTGCATGAACTTCTCAGAGAAGTGAGAAGTTTATCTTTACATATTCAGCATATTCTGTACTTTAGCTGGTCTGAGAAAATCCAAACCACCAGCTGAACTTGTAAAGAAAGATTTTACTGCTCGGGCTACATCATATTCAGTGAATTGTAGTGGTTCAACGTCTAATGATTTACTATGAAATTATGATTCATTGGATAAGGCAGCTGGATGTTACGATTTTATTTTTGCTTTTTATAAATGATCTTCCAAAATTTTGTTCAAAAGCTTCCATTACTGTTATTTTTGCAGACGACACTAACATCTTGGTATCTGCGGGAACTATGTCCGAAGTAATTGTCAAAGCTAATGAAGTAACTGATCAAATTTCTGAGTGGTGTTCTATAAATGGCCTGCTGCTAAATCTCAAATGCTCAGCCTTGTTAATAAAAATACAACAATTGATAAAAGCTATTTGGTTAGATTGAATAATAAACTTTATACAAAGTTAATTATACTATATTCTTAGGTGTTGATATTGATAATAAACTTACCTGGAAGTTCCATGTTGATAGGTTCCTCAAATATCAATGTCTTCAAAAGGCGACTCAAGTAAACATAGTAAAACTACCAAACTCTGATATATATAAAAAACAATATTTCAATTATTCCTAGAAATGAGCAAATCCATGAACATTTCACCAGAAATAACTCCATCAACCTTATAGTAGATTGACAGTATCAAAGAATCACCCCATGTGCTGTGGGGTTAAGCTATATAATAAGCTTAGTGAGGATATTAAATCCTCAAATATCAATGTCTTCAAAACGCGACTCAAGATTTTTCTATCGCAAAAAGCATACTACTCTGTGGATGAGTTTCTCCTTGAATCCTAATTTGATTGTAGCTTATAAACTTTTTTTGTATGTATGTTTTGTATTGACTTTTTTAAGTTTATTTGACCTGTTGAATCAGTCAGTATTTTATGACAATGTTATGTTTTTTTGTCCAATGTGATTGTGAAGGAAAACTGATTCAATAAACGTTTGATTGATTGTAGTTCTAATACATGGCATGAATACAACCGATTCACGTGTGTCACCAATTTCACAACAATCTCTATTAACTGGAGATGTATAAGTTCTTTTATGAAGAAGGGTTACTTATTTGAGTTTACCCAAAAATGGCACTGAAAATGAAACATTTTAGTTTTTTCAAGTTTGTTGGATGTCTTAGTGTTACTAAGTTTGTGTGTCTAGTTTTTCTTTCGATTACTAAGACGAAAATATTAAAATAAATATAACTTAAATATTAGGAAAAATACATTGTGACATTTCAATTTCATTTATATACTATTGATATTTATATACATATTATTGATTAATATTTATTTTAGCTCCATATTATCAATTCTTATTTTTGAAAATTATTTTCATTTTCAACTTATTACAAAGGTTTGGTTCTAATATACATATTATGTTTCATGATTCATTTATTTCTTTCTTAGATATCAAATCTGTTAACATATATTAGAGAATCATAATCCAAACCTGCCATATTCAGCAATAAACTAACTGAATTGTAAAATTTTAATTTCTTACAGAATGAGCCGAACCTTCGACTTCAAGGATATGAACAATTCAAGTGGAAACGTCGGAAAATATGGGGCCAATTTGAATCTCGTATGAGAGAATTCTTCCAAAAAACAGGTCTGTGGAAGGGTTCTATGAAGCACATAGAGGGAAATTTTGGCACAGGTGTTGTGGCGTTTTTTTTGTTTTTAAAATGGCTCTTTATTTTAAATTTGTCAATTTTTATTTTCATTTTTTTGTTTATAACTCTACCTACCATTTTGCTTGATTATGACAAATGCAAAAACAACCCAAATACAAGTTATTGTTGTTCAGAGGATCATCTCAATGAAACTGTGTCTGAAAACAACATATTGGTAGATTTAGTTCAAGGTACTGGTTTTTTAGAATGTACAATATTATTTTATGGGTTTTACGGCAACGAAACTGTTACATATATGTCTGGTCAAACTCCTATGTACTATAATATTCCTCTTGCTTATATTTTTATTATTCCAATATGTTTTATGATTTCTATGATTGCTATTATAAGGTCTGCTGCAAAAGGGTTTAAGGAACGCCTTATTGAAGGAGAAGGTCAGTTTTATCACTACTGTAATTTAATATTTGGCGGATGGGATTACTGTATAGATAATGAAAAATCCGCTAAGATGAAGCACAAAGCTATATATAGCGAAATAAAGGCGAGTCTAGAAACTGAAAAGATGAAAGAAGAGAAGCTAAGTCGTACTACACAGGAATGGTACAAAATCTACTTTTGCAGAATAGTGGTGAATAGTGTAGTTGTTGCAGTTTTAGCTGGTTGTGGATGTCTTGTTTATATACTTTTTGAAGAATCGACCGCACAACTGAACAATCAGACTGATCTTTCCAAATTTGAGCAACTCTTCTTTCAGTTTTTGCCCTCATTGTCTATTGTCAGTTTAAATATGATAATACCAGTTTTATTTAAATTCCTGATTAGTTTTGAGAAGTATACCCCTCCAGCTGAAATTAAGTATTCTCTTATAAGAACTGTTTTTATTCGTCTTGCATCTCTAGTGGTACTTTATGCTTCTCTCTGGAGAGAAGTTGGGTGCAAAAATTGTAAAGTGTGTTGGGAAACTTTTGTTGGTCAACAGATTTACAAATTGCTGTTAACTGACTTTGCTGTTCATGTTTTTCTAACACTAATAGTAAATTTTCTACGATCTCTGCTTGCAAAGCATATAGAAAATAAAATGGTGAAATTTTTTTGTGAACAAACCTTTGACTTGCCAAGACATGCTTTAGACATTGTCTACACCCAGACTCTTTGTTGGTTTGGAATATTTTTTGCTCCATTGTTGTCTTTATTGGCAGCAATGATTTTTTTCATCCTATTTTATATTAAAAAATTTGCATGTGTTGTCAACTGTAAACCAAACAATGTAATTTATCGTGCATCAAAAACCAATTCCATGTTTATGTTTGTTCTATTGGTCTCTTGCATTTTTGTTATATTTCCTTTAGCTTATGTTTCTTTCAAACTGGAACCATCTAGGAATTGTGGCCCCTTCCGGGACCAAACCTTCGTATGGGATTTAGTAGGAAATCTTTTTTCATATACACCAATGTGGATTCAAAGCATATTTTATTTCTTCAGCACCGCCGGTTTTGGCTTTCTTTGCTTTATAGTGATTGTATTAATTCTATTTTACTATAGAGTAGTGAATTCAGCGAATCGGCATCTTGTAGAAGTTTTAAAAAATCAGCTTGTTCTGGAAGGTCATGATAAGCAATTTTTGCTTGATCGGTTAAGCTTGTTTATAAAACAAGAGAGTCAAAAGAGAACGAGGTCTGAGCAAAATAGAGAGGGTGATATAAACACTTGAAAGCTTTGTGTATAATAAAATAACTTGTGAGTTAATATAGACTTAAGAAAATATTCCTTCATATCTCGATAGTGTTTAGATTGATTTTTTGAAATGTGAACATTGCTTCACATTAAACAAAATAACTTTGTGTCAAATATCCAATTTTCAGCTGCACAGTGGTGTATTTTTTTAAACATAATTTAAATTTACCAAAAGTATCTAGAAAGCAATCTTCTGTGATTTTGATTTTTTGTTGTGATAGTTTAAACCCCCATTATCTCCTGTTTTAATCAACATCTATTTATTACTTAATCTTTAATAATTTTAGATATTATCAAATGCAATATATAATGATTAATTTGATTCATTTTAATGAATGATTGTGAGCAGTTGTACTATTAACATTTTTACAACTTTTAAAACTTTTTACAACATAATATTCACTATAAATTGATTCATATGACTAATAATTTCTGTATGAATTAAAATAATTGTTGATAATTTTAATTTGGCGCCTCTTCAAACAACATGACAGATAATTCTTTATTGGTAACATAATAACGATAATAATTTTTCACTGGTGCTAATATAATACAAGTGTTAACACATGTCAAAAATGGAAAAAATAATAAGATACATGTATAAATAACATTAGGTATTACAATTCATGAATGTGAAATCAGAAGGTTTCCTGACTAAAGTATTTTCAAAGATATACCGAATTGTAAACAAAACAGGGTGCAAATCCTCTCTTAAGTAAAAACTACAAGTACACACCGAACAGACTAGTCATTAAAATACGTATTTTATTATTTAGTTTCATTAGTATTTCAGAACAGTGGATATAACATTTTTTTATAGGTTGTTCGTTGTAGCAAAAAAAGAGAAATAATATATGTGCACTAGAAAACTTGTAGTTATTTTTAAATTATAGTACAATAAATTATTGAATATTGGTGAAAATATTGAAACAATATAAAGAAATGAAAATTTGAGAACATAATGTTTAAAAATTTCTTTCACTACAATCGATATCAATATCTGAATCCTAATCACTGTCAGTGAAATCAGTTATTGTTGGATCTATTATGGTAGCAAAATGATCACGTGAAATTATTTTTGTACCTTTTCTTTTGTGATATTTTCACTATCTGCTTGTATAAAGATAATTACTGTACTTGTCAAGTTTTAATATTTTCAGAGCATAGTCTTGAATCAAGTTTGTGCGAAAGAAATTCGATTGCAAAACAAATATTGAAATTTCAACTCTCAGTTTTTAAACTTGAAACCCCAGGAACTCTTGACAATTATTGATTATAGTGAGAATTATTATCCATAACTATGTGAGTTCAGTGATGAATTTTTATTTTTTTGAAGCTAATAAGCAATTTTAATTCCATCCACAAGTAATTAATTTCCCTTATTAAAACACTTTGAATCATTGGTTCAACTTGTTTTCAAAGTGTTATGAGTTCCAAATCATTTTTCTTACACATATATTTCAATTATAATGACTAACATCTAATAGCAATCAAATATTCAGAATGCATAATCTGCCTGCATCTTGATTACACGAGAGTTTTCAATATATTGATTGCTGTTGGCTGTATTTGATATTGCATTCATCTTGCACTAAATGTTTATTTGAAGATTTTAATGAAGCATTGGAAAATGTAAGTGCTAGTAACTGTAATTGTAGATAATTAAAAACGCATTTACCATCATCACTGTACTTCAAGCCTAATGAGATCCTGATAGTTTAAGTCCAAGTTTGTCTTTTCATACTAAAGAGGGGTTGCAGTATATGGAGTGTGTCGATGAGAGACTGCAATAAATCAGTCATATATTTATTTACTTTTTACTCCTACAAACACAATATTGAATTGTAATTAAAAGTAAGAGAGATAAAACTACAATAACAAAATAAGCTTAAGAACTACTAACTAAAATAAAACAAAACAGTAAATATAAAAGGAAACAAAAAAGAAATCAAATAAATTATCACAATTTTTAAAATGTATACAAGTACCTATAAATTAAGTTACCCAATACCTAGAATATATGATAGAATTTGAGTCATCAACTGTTTGTTAAGTGTGTTAAGAGTTTCTGTCAGAATGGGTCATAGTCACATTCAGATTATAGTGAAGAAACAGGTTGGTCATTTATGAATATGTATATATTTATCTCAGGAGCCCTGAGATACACCATAAATAGAAGATCTGGAATTTGGTGAGCTGTTTTTGATCTTCACAGATTGAAATCAGTTCGTTGAATATGATTGGATCATTTATATACATTCCTTGTAAAAATTATATGAGCACGAGTGCACTTGTTTTCAAACCAGCAGATTCTCTCAATTTATTGATAGTGTGTGTGTGTCAAAATACGCCAAGTTGAATGCCAAACTATACCTGCATGACATATTCAATGTTTTTCTTAAATTTGATTGAATGAATATTGAAAATATTTCCAAAGAATAGTAAGATTGCAAGTGGTCAAAAATATGAAGTTTTCAATGTATAGTTTTTTAGCAATGTAAATGGCAAGAACTATTTTGAAAATGTTATGAAGCACACTCTCACAAATGATACGTTTATAAGTTAACTGTCAGTTTAGTTGGTAAGTGGATTTAGAGATTTTGTTTTTTGTGTGGAAGTTCTGATATTGTCAATTACAAGTAAGCATGAGTACTCTTTTCTCCACACTCATATAGATATGCTGCAGATTCTGGTTAAATGATATCCATACTAGTGAACGGGTTATACAGAGTGTCAGTTTATAAAAATATGCCAAAAGGTCAATGCCAAATTAAAATTGTTAACAAAAAATGTAATTCTTTTATCAACAGAAAAAATTATTCAATTCACTACAGACTAGTAATAAAAAGTTAGACATCCAATGAGATAATATGAACTCTGTTCCATTTTTTGTTTTATTCGGCTGATACATCAATTAAATTCATTGTTGATGAAATTCCACCTTGTGGTTGAGGGGGATTCTGTTGTACTATGAAAGTATGTTGCCAGATGTAACAATTTGAATTCTGCAAGAATCCGCTTGATGCCAGCGCTAAATGAAAAGTATCAAGAAACTTTTTAAAATAAATTATATATTTGCCCAGACAGATGATCAACTGTATTTCATATAAAAATGAGGTAAATAGACTATTACTTTTTTCATAAAAATTTTATTTTATACTTTTATTTTACATAAAAAAATATCAATGAGATTTACGATGTAACTGATGAAATTTCTTTTTTCCATTTTCAATTTTTAACTAAAAACTTTCAACCTCAGCAATGTTTCAATCATATCTGAATATTTTCCTTTCATTTTGGATTTAATACATGACATACATAATATTTTTTATAGAGAAGAAAAGAGAATTGAAACTTTCGATGTTTTGTAATTAACGTTATGTTAGTTACAAATAAAAGTGGTAAAAAACATAGAAAGTTTCAATTCTCTTTTCTTCATTATGATCTCATACCACGTAGTAACGGCTACATCCATCAATTTTTTATAGAAGTATTTTCATTATAGTCCATATGTTTACACTTTTTCACAAAAAAAAAATCAACCCCCTACAGTGAAACTCATTCTATTCAAGGTACTTTTTGATAAGTGTGAAAAGCTCTTGTACTTAGATTATTAATTGGGAATGTATTATTACTTGTTTTCGTATTTTATATATGTTGTAATGAAATGTAATTTGTCCATAAATGGACCATCTAGGTCCAGGAACGACAATATTATTATGTATCTCAAAACTTTCAAAACGTAAACAGCATTGAATAATTATATAATATTTGTAATAAATAAGTTTTCACAGCCTGCCAACTAAAATTCATTTGATCTGTTGTAATTTCATATATAAGTAGTCTCCGATAGTTACATGTAATATTTTAGAATTTATTAGAATTATTCAGAGTATTTTTGAGTAGTAATCCTTTCTTCAAAAATAATATATGTGCACTAGAAAACTTGTAGTTATTTTTAAATTATAGTACAATAAATTATTGAATATTGGTGAAAATATTGAAACAATATAAAGAAATGAAAATTTGAGAACATAATGTTTAAAAATTTCTTTCACTACAATCGATATCAATATCTGAATCCTAATCACTGTCAGTGAAATCAGTTATTGTTGGATCTATTATGGTAGCAAAATGATCACGTGAAATTATTTTTGTACCTTTTCTTTTGTGATATTTTCACTATCTGCTTGTATAAAGATAATTACTGTACTTGTCAAGTTTTAATATTTTCAGAGCATAGTCTTGAATCAAGTTTGTGCGAAAGAAATTCGATTGCAAAACAAATATTGAAATTTCAACTCTCAGTTTTTAAACTTGAAACCCCAGGAACTCTTGACAATTATTGATTATAGTGAGAATTATTATCCATAACTATGTGAGTTCAGTGATGAATTTTTATTTTTTTGAAGCTAATAAGCAATTTTAATTCCATCCACAAGTAATTAATTTCCCTTATTAAAACACTTTGAATCATTGGTTCAACTTGTTTTCAAAGTGTTATGAGTTCCAAATCATTTTTCTTACACATATATTTCAATTATAATGACTAACATCTAATAGCAATCAAATATTCAGAATGCATAATCTGCCTGCATCTTGATTACACGAGAGTTTTCAATATATTGATTGCTGTTGGCTGTATTTGATATTGCATTCATCTTGCACTAAATGTTTATTTGAAGATTTTAATGAAGCATTGGAAAATGTAAGTGCTAGTAACTGTAATTGTAGATAATTAAAAACGCATTTACCATCATCACTGTACTTCAAGCCTAATGAGATCCTGATAGTTTAAGTCCAAGTTTGTCTTTTCATACTAAAGAGGGGTTGCAGTATATGGAGTGTGTCGATGAGAGACTGCAATAAATCAGTCATATATTTATTTACTTTTTACTCCTACAAACACAATATTGAATTGTAATTAAAAGTAAGAGAGATAAAACTACAATAACAAAATAAGCTTAAGAACTA